GCGCCGAGCCCCGCGGCTGCCCGCGTCGGGCGGGCGGGCGTCCCCCCAGGCGCCCCGGGGCCGGCCGCCCTTACCTGCTCTCCCGGCGCCGCCGCCGGCTCCGGGGCGCTGCTGTCCGGCTGGCTCATCGGGCTCGGGCGGGAGGGAGCGAGCCCCGCTGCTCCCGGGCCTGCGATCCGCTGCGCGCTTCACAATGCCGCCGCCGCCGCCGCCGCCTTTCCGCCCTGCGGGGACTGGAGGGACGCGAGTGGGGGCGATGCCCGCGGCGCGGGTGGGCGGCTCGCCGGGCTGCTGCAGCCCCCCTTCCCCGGGGCGCGGGCCGCGCCGCCTTCAGCGAGGGCGCTGCTGCGGGCAGGGCGAGTCCCGGTGCGGAGCCCGCGCTGCCGCCATCACAGCAGCTCTGGGGGCAGCTCCAGCCTCAGCACATTCAGATCAAGCAGCAGCAGGAGCAGGGGGCTGAGTCTGGCCGAGCCGAGCGCTGCAGGACCCGGGGCTCTGCCCTCTCCGCCCCTCCATGCCCAGCCCAGGACGCGGGGCGCCCCCGCCGCCGCCGCCTGCCCCGCTAGGGCCCCTGGCACCGCCCGGCCCTGCCCCGGGCTTGGCCCCCGCGGCCCCTGGGCAGCGCCCTGCTGCCCGTGCCCCGTTCGGGAAGATCCGCTCCAACTTTGCCAGGTGCCTGACTGGGAGCCCAGCCTCAGGCCCCGGCGGCAGGGGGTCCCCGCGCCGCGAGCGCTCAGGACCGGCACTGTCAGGCATTCAGAGGATTATTTTTCGGTGGGAGGAAGGCGGGTGTGGGTTAAGCTGAGCTCCGGGAAACAAACACATAAATAAATAAATAAAAATCAGGGACTACTTTTTTGAAAACCACAGAAAGCAGCAATTTCCCCAGGAGCCTCCCAGCCCCGGTGCTGGTAGGGACTTGGTGCCCTTTGCCAACCTCCTCAACGCGGGATGGAGAGAGGACCTGAAATTGGCATGTGCCAAAAGAAACCTGGGACAGTGCAGGACTGGCAGATAAGCATAGGTGGGCTCCCAACTTTAAGGCCAGAAATGGGGGTGTGCCTCCGAAAAAGTGTCACCTCTGGGCTCTGCTCTGACCCGGCAGCCACAGCCCTCTGACACATTCATTTCTAGGTTTCATGGAGGGCAGCTCCAGGGCAGGAAGCCTGTTGTCTCTCCCCTGCCCAATCTGGAATGTAACTGTTCAGGTCTGAATATCAGGGGCCTCAATTTGCACAACTTGGGAGTTCTACCTGAATATTGATGGGAACAATTTATGAGCTCATTTCATAATCGCCCCCAAATCCAGAGTCTAAGGGTGGAATTCAAAAAGCAGCTTTAAAACTACCTGTTGTGTGAGAAGTCTGATGGGCAGGGCCTTTAACAAGTAAGTTTGAACAACTTTTTATAATGTCTTCACGAAGCAGAGTTCCACCACCCCTGAGAAGCTTCTGGGTTAGGGTGACCAGATGTCCCGATTTTATAGGGACAGTCCCGATTTTTGGGTCTTTTTCTTATATAGGCTCCTATTACCCCCCACCCCCGTCCTGATTTTTCACACTTGCTGTCTGGTCACCCTATTCTGGGTGGTGGCTGCAGGCCCTTTCCCATTCCCTTCTGTCTTGTGGGATTTCTCAAGTGAGAGCTCTTGAGGCAGAATATCAGTAACGCATCACTTCTCTTCGAGAGTGGCACCTGAGGTGACCAGTGAATAATACAGCTGCCCCTCCCCGTCCCCATGAGTTTAATCAGTATAAATTATGGAAAGATTTAAAGTTAAAGTTGCAGCTGCATCTCTGTTTAAAGCCACATTTTGCATTTTCTCACAATCTACACAAAAAGGCCCCAGACAGTATCAAAATATGAAATATTATTGATTTGGGAAATAAACAATAAAATAATGCTGGTGACCCACTTGTAGATCACCAGCCCAGCGTGGTCCTGGTGCAGTCTCCTTGGCTGCAGTCTTGAACTTCAGCACTAGCTCCTCTGCAAAACTTATACGGAGCAGACAGGCAAAATGGCAGTGATTTGCATCGAGGGTTAGGGTTAGGAGAGAGCTCTCCCCTCAGCTTCACTACTCCAGGCACAGTGCGCGGCAGAAGCTGTGTCCGCAGGCTGACATAACGCTGTCTAGTCAGGCACTTATGTCAGTGTAACTTATGTCGCTGGGAGTGGGAGGTGAATTCACATAGGCCTGGTTTACACTAGGAGGTTATGTCGAATTTAGCAGCGTTAACTCGAATTAACCCTGCACCCGTCCACACAACGAAGCTATTTATTTCGACATAGAGGTCTCTTTAAATCGATTTCTGTACTCCTCCCCGACGAGGGGAGTAGCGCTAAATTCGACATGGCCATGTCGAATTAGGGTTAGTGTGGATGGAATTCGACGCTAATAGCTCCAGGAGCTATCCCACAGTGCACCACTCTGTTGACGCTCTGGACAGCAGTCCGAGCTCGGATGCTCTGACCAGCCACACAGGAAAAGCCCCGGGAAAATTTGAATTCCTTTTCCTGTTTGGCCAGTTTGAATCTCATTTCCTGTTTGGACATCGTGGCGAGCTCAGCAGCACTGGCACCGATGCAGAGCTCTCCAGCAGAGGTGACCATGCAATCGCTGAATAGAAAGAGGGCTCCAGCATGGACTGATCGGGAAGTCTTGGATCTGATCGCTGTGTGGGGCGATGAGTCCGTGCTTTCGGAGCTGCGATCGAAAAGACGGAATGCGAAGATCTACGAGAAGATCTCAAAAGCCATGACAGAGAGAGGATACAGCCGGGATGCAACGCAGTGCTGCGTGAAAATCAAGGAGCTGAGACAAGCGTACCAGAAGACCGAAGAGTCAAACGGACGCTCCGGATCCCAGCCCCAGACATCCCATTTCTTCGAGGCACTGCATTCCATTCTAGGTGTGGCCGCCACCACTGTCCGTGGACTCTGACGATGGGGTATTGTAGATGGCCGCTTCCTCGGAGCTGTTCGCGGACAGGGAAGATGAGGAAGGAGATGAGGAGGACGAGGCAGTCGACAGCACTTTCAACACTGATTTCCCCGACAGCCAGGATCTCTTCATCACCCTCACGGAGATACCCCACCAACCCTCCCAAGGCGGTAACCCGGACCGTGAATCAGGGGAAGGATCAGTAGGTAAGTGTTTTAAACATTTATTTTGAATAGAATAGGCATGGTATGTTAGCAATGGGTTTTTAATGATTAGTTTGCCCTAGGCGCTTAACTTTTTAGTCCTTGCCAGTGCAGCTACTGGAAAAGTCTGTTAACATGTCTGAGGATAGAGTAGAAATCCTCCTGGGACATCTCCACGAAGCTCTCCTGGAGGTAATGTGAAAGCCTTTGCATCAGGTTCCTGGGGAGAGCGGCCTTATTGCCTCCTCCATGATAGGAAACTTTTTTGCGCCAGGCTAGCAGCAGGTATTCCGGTATCATTGCCTGGCAAAGCATGGCAGCATATGGCCCTGGTGTTTGCTGGCATTCACGCAGCATGCGATCTTTTTCTGTCTCCGTAATCCTCATCAGAGTGATATCACTCATGGTGACCTGCTTTGAATTAGGGGAATTTTAGTATTGGGACTGATTGCCTGTTCCTTTAAATAACTGTAACCGGTGGTTTACAGCCACGCGGTGGGGGCGGGGAGGCGAACCGTTCATGCTGAGCGGTTCGCCGGCAGCGTGCAGGGATCTTTCCCGGGGACAGCCACACGGTGGGGGCGGGAAGGCGAACCATTCCTGCTGAGCAGTTTGCCGGCAGCATGCAGGGATCTTTCCCGGGGACAGCCGCGACAGGGGTGAGACAGGGGCAGAGTTCATGCCGGCCGGATCGCCGGCAGCGTGCAGGGATCTTTCCCGAGCCCAGCCACATGGTGGGGGCGGGGAGACGAACCGTTCCTGGTGAGCGGTTCGCTGGCAGCATGCAGGGATCTTTCCCGGGGACAGCCGCGATAGGGGTAGGACAGGGGCAGAGTTCATGCTGGCCGGATCGCCGGCAGCAGGAACTGGCCAACGCTAAGAGCATTGCTTGGAACGTGAAAGGAGGGCACTGCTGTAAATTAAGCTTTAAGCAGCCAAAAGTCTACGGTTTACCATGGCCGCCTACTAGCAGAATTCCGTTGTCCGGCCCTGCTTGTGTGATCTGTACAGCAAGACCCCAGGCACTCAAGGTGAAGACAGAAAATTCGA